AAAAGGTATCAAGCCAACAATGACATTTCTATTCTCTTTCTCTTTGTTTCAAGGACCAAACTAAAAATATGTTTGTCGTGCTCATTACTTGTGGTGTTTTCTCCTTGTCTCTATGCCTCTTTTTCCTCCTCCCTTGTATTTTTATTCACCTTGTTTTGTAAGTGTATCAAGAGTAGACAGAGACAGAGAGGGCAGTGATTTTCAAAGCACTCACCACTGAACAAACAAACCGTCACAGCAGCGATTTATCTAGAAACAGATCAAAGGTGGTGCTAATGTCAAGATTCTCTTTGTACTCAGACACGCAGGTGCACGCATGTAAACACAAACAAACCTCATTCAGAAACCCCCGCAAATACAATACATAAGTTAAATAACAAGTATGACACTGCAGATTTGAACATCCTGATGGTTCGTCAAGCAAGTACTCCTTGGCCTTCACAAATGCTACACTTGTCCTCAATCTCCCTTTTTATCTAGCCTATTACATGGGGTACAAGTGTCATAGAAAACACAAGGATTTGTATCAGAATACTCAAAACATGCAATTTGTTAATAACTGCAGAGTTTCTGGTCTTGCTATATCTTTTTTCTAACATCCAACATCCACACAGATCGTTCACTTAAGACTTTCAGGACCACAAAAAACTAATCCTGAGCAAAATGTGACTCTATGACCCAAAGAGTCTGGGTAGGTTTGGATGTTTACAGCAATGGCATCACTACTGTGGACGTAGGTGTTGTGATTCATGGATTCTCTGTCTTATTCATCCTGTTATTTTTAAGAGAAAGAAAAAAAATCTGCATCCAAGTACGTCTACATCCACAGTTTGGCCCGAACAAATGGGGCATTTATATTTTCCCTGTTATACATCAAATTGGATAAATTCCCCATTGATTTCACATTGTGTATTATGTCTGAAACAAGGAATACTTATTTTTAAGCTTTAAAAGCATTACCTTTCATAAACAACTGCCAACAAAACCGGCCTGTTCCAATAATTGACCTCCACCAGGTCAGTGGAGCTGAAGAGGATCAATCAATCATGAAACTACTTCTGCGTAAATTTACTGTAAGCTGTATCTTTGAACTTTCTGTGTTGAAAGACAGCAAGATTATGAAAGGAGGATTCATAGAAAGAATATAGGGACCTGTGGTGTGAAAGAAACACGATGAACAAGATGATGCTCTGGTTAGAGGAGAGCTTTTGACAGTGCAAACTGTGTACACTCCCCTGTGTGCTGACCACAGTGCTCACACTAAGCAGACAGACAGAGATGCAATTTGACCTTTTCAGTAGGTCTTTGGATGTCTCTTGCACAGCCCATGTCCCTGGGCGAAGACAGGAAAGAAGTCAAACTAAAAATCCAGTACAGGCCATTCAAAAACACACACACACACA